CGCCAGGCAACTCTCACGGCGCTAACCCTAATCCTACTCGCCCTAACCCGGATCGAGCCAGAGAAGTATTAGCACTCCAGACCCCGTGTAACATTCAGCCATCTCGTCATTTGTTAAGGAGAGAATCCTTCTTGTTACTTGTAACATCAGGCGCCAGCTGTGGAGTGTATCTTCCATAAACAATGATAAACAGTGGGTCAGTTTTCTTTCCTTTTCATTATGCTTATATTTGAGCCGAATCGGAATCACTGACGCGTTTCATAGATTTGTGGAGTTTGTTGGCGAGCTGGAGTCGCCTGCTTCTTTGGCATTCCAAGCCAAGGCATGCGCGACGGAGAAACCGGTAACTACAGGGTTCCGAATTGGTGGGAGTGATTTTTTGCATCGTGAGGCGGTGTCTGCGGGGGGATGCATAGTTGTTCTAGTGTTGCGTGCAGTATTTGTAATCTTTGATGGATACATGATTGCATTGGGCTTTTGTTGCATACCCGCCACATGGTGCCCCTGATCGCTGATTTGATTCCTTCTTTTCGCATGTACACAGTAGGTATCTCGGTTAGGTAGACAGACGCGGAGGGGGGGCAGTTCTAGATTTTGCCAGCGAGCACGCCGAGTCTGCATTGCTTGTTGTGCTAGTGGGCAATACGAATGTCTCTTGGTCGAGCCGAAAATAGTAACTCGCATAAAAAAACCAATCTTCGTCAAAATTAGCCCGCCCTTTCCAACGGACCTTCCGCCTCGCTAGGCCCTCGGACCAATTAATTCTGGACTGTGATACAGGGCCGAAGCTTTGTGTGTGGACCACCAGCAAGGGCACAATACAGGCCAAGGTGGAGAGTAAGAAATATATTATAAGGAGTACGATCTATGCTCAATTCTCTATAGTGAATAAGGTATAGATTCATCCGAAGAAGAGCCTGATATATTCAGCACCCTCAGACACAAAACTTTAGTCTTGCAGCACAGTGTACAAAAGTCTTAGGTCCTTACGTGTGTTCTTCATTTATTTCAGCAAGAAAACGCAATATGTGAGGCGCTATTGCGAAGTATTTTCCATTGTTGCTGTACTCCTTTTTGTCGGGGCTATTCTTATTCTAGTATTTCAGTCACGGGATCTTTCCAGGGACTTTACGCTAGTAGTAGAGGGTGATACAGAAATAGCTTGGCTTGATACCCACCTCCCCACATTATTACTAGCGAAGCTTAGTGCTTATCCCAACGTCGAGGGGTAAGAAGAAGAGCAGATGCACGCTTCGAACGCGTGTTTTACAAGAGGCGATTGTCACAGTCTAGGCTCGACGTTTTAATGGCCTATGGGACGAGTAGAGAACGTAAGAACCCCAACCCCAATTATCAATACGCTATCAGGACGGACCAGGCACAATAATACTCCTTTTTTCTTTCTAGATTTATCTAATAATTGCATACATGAATGGGAAGAAATCACTAATCTACGGATGCATCGCTTTCCCACATGGATTCTGACTCGTCAATGTATTCCGACAAGTCCCTGTCTTCCGCGTCGCTTTCCCTCGTCTGGGCGCGTGCTTTGCCCTTTTTTCTGCCATCTACCCCGGCGACGTCGACAGTGGCGGTAGCCTTCCCTTGTGGGGAACCAGTGGATTCCTCAGGAGGATCTGCCGTGGCAGAGTCGTAAGAGCCAATCCTGCGCCTAAAACGAAAGCCTCGTGGACTGGATTCCGATGTTGTACGGACCCTCTTCTTACCTTCGGCAGTAGTGCTTGTGGCATTTCCCTTCTTGCCATTAGGTTTGGTCTGGCCAACCTTTTCGCCGGTGGCCGGAGATCTGGCGTCTTTTTTGTTGCTAGCACTCGATGCGGTATTCAGGGCGCTTCCGAGGGAAGAACCAGTAAAGATAAACCAGCTCGGGATCGTAGTCTGATTGTTAGCGGGTCCAGTCTTGCGGGCAGTATGGGCAGTGTTTGGGTTGGGAGAGTCCTGGGACGATACCAGGATTGCCGCCTCCTCCGTATTTCCATCTTCGGGATTGTCGCCGCTCGGCTCAATATCGATAACCTCCATCGACTCAGGTCCAGGTTCCAGCTCCCCGGCATTCTTGGATGCCATTAAACCCGCCCGGTTCAAAATAAATGTGCCTGGGCGGGCAATGCCTCCGCCCGTTTGGACTGGTTCGTTGGTTTTGCTATTACACTTGCTCTTACCGGGTCCCTTGGCTCGTTCTAGTAGTCCTTTCTCAACCTGGTCACGTAGCTGGTCTGTGGTTGGAAAGTTGACGCTCACTGCCCACTCAGGCAGAATTGCAGCCTGAGCTTTCTACCTTGCGCGCCATTCAACCGTGTTTGGCGCAGGGCATTTGTAGGAATCAGTGCGATGTTTGTCGTCAATAAGCCCAGCTCTCTGGCAGTTTAGACAACGATGGAATTCCTTTTTGCCTACATTTGGGCACAGTTGAGTTTCTCCTTCAACGACATGGTTTTCGGCACAAATGAAGCACGGCCAACTCCGGTCCTTTGGTAAATCGGAATTCGGGCAGTACTTGCTGTCATACATATGCCCTGGGCCTCCGCATTTCTTGCAGAATACGGGAGTTGCTCGTTGATCGTAAGCCCTAAGCCTAGTTAGTATAATAGCTACTTCATCGTCCGTCCAACCACACTTACATGGCTAATGCGTGATCTCCTGCGAAGTAAAGAGGTTTCTGGCACGCCTTTACGGCCTCAGATGGAGTCCTGAAGCCCCACAACAGTTTCTGGGCTACATATTTGACTTCCCTAATGTCGAGACCAGTCTGAGATTTCATCTCTTCGAGATGGCCTTTGCAATCCCTCAAGTAATCGTTTTGGAGGTTGTATTCGTGCAGGATCACCCAGTAGGTGTCCAGTTTGATCGATGACTTGGGTTCAAGGCCAAGCGCTCTCGTCATAGCCGCAACACTCTCCGGCTTCTTCAGCTCTTCGTGGACCGGGAGTGAATCCGTGAAGATGGCGAGCTCGTTTATATTGGAGTATACCCTTATAGACGTAGCTCGGTCGTAGGGTTTACCTAGCGACTGCACCATCTGAAGTCTCTCAGCGGGTATCGTTTTCGACATCTTCTCAGTGTCGGCCGTGGTGAGTTTGAGCACGACTTTGAGCAAAACCGCATCGAGTGAGCGGATTGGCGCTTGCTTATCCTGTTTCTCGATAAACTTTTTCAAGCTTTTGAGTTCTGCCGTCAAAGAATGCATGGGTTTGTAGCACTGATTGGTCATCGCAGTCGTTAGCTCTTTCCTTTGGGTAGCCAATGCTTGTACTACTGCATCTTTGATGATTTCTGCCAAATTTTGCAGTGGGATCGACGGTGTGACAGTGTATAGTGGATTGGATGCCCCTTTAACGCCTTTAGACTGGTGTATGTCGGCACTCTCTGAAGGGGACGACGAAGGTCCTTGTGGGGACATATCGAAAACAAACGAGGTGAAGTTAATGATAGATAACAGACCGTTAGTGGTTTCTAGAGGTGAATGGACGCTTTTCTCAAAGCAGATAAATAGGTCATTATATATATCGAACAAGAAAGCCGTTGACACTGCGTTTGTTCTCTCTCGCAGCGGCACCAACTTTGATTGCGACAGCGACTACTGCGACTACCAGAAACCCCACGTTCATTGTGACAGGGAAGATTTCACCCCGACCCGCCCCCTATTCATTTTTGCTGGCCTTATTCTCCATATCTCAGTGATTAGGAAGAGGTTACATGTCGTAAAGTTGGTTGTAGCTATATTAAATGGCTAGAATAGGTAATGTGTAGGCAGGGGATGAGCAGAATGGTCGGAACGGTCAATTAATCGGCGTGACAGTCAAATGGGACGTGTAAGTTTCGACGCCCTTGCGTACTTATTTGCAGTAGGTGAGCAACAAGTCATGGAACATGTGCATGTTGGCTCTGTGCGCTTTGAGGGATTGCTTTTGATTGCATAGTCTACTTTTGGTTGCATCGTCAAAGCGAATCCTTGCTACGCCTGGAGCTAACAAGCCAATCCACGGGGTACACAGCCAGCCATTGTGCGTAGATTCTGTCATTAGGTGCATTGACATTCATTTTTGGCAATTCTAATTTCTTTTACCAATCCACCCGCGCGTATGAGAACCGAGATACGCAAGCCAAAAGTTGAACCTACGGAAACGCACGGCATAGCTACTATCCGATATGCCCTTGTCATTAGGGTGCATGCGCTTGGATGAAACTGGGCCTTTCTCATGCTTATGAATGTCATGATCCTATATTGAGCTCGTCCGGTGAAGGTTTATGCCGAAATTGTCAATATCAGCGTTAAAGTCGGGTAGAAAGATCCCGGAACGCCAATGCGTAGTTGGAACAAAACAATGCGTAGTCTATCGAACACGAAAATAACCTTTCCACAGCAGCCTCCTGGCCAAATAAATGATATCGATTCTCGTATTTGAACTGTGCCCGTGTGTTCAGGACATATGTATATCAATCTCAGCATCCATAAATTATGTCTTCTCACGAGTGTACTTTGGATCAACTCGACAGTCTCACCCAACGAACTCAGGCCAGCCGTGGAGGAAGATAAGCACCCGCGACTGTGAGATGAGTTCAACGAAGAAACAGATGAACAGCTTTCAGGTAAGTTCGAATCATAATGTTGTTATAACTGCAAGGGTTAAGGATATGTTTACACCCACTCGGATCATTTGAAAGAGTGAGTATCTTCCACAATCTGCACCACGCTGCTGACATACTCGAACAATAGATCAATCCAATGAAATCCAGTGCTCGTAAGGAACCAAACATTGAGGCAGGAGGGAACCCCAACCCTAAGCGAAATGTGCGGGCCAACTTTCGGAATGGCACAACTCCCACAACCCCCAGCTTCGATGGTGGAAAGTGTCAGATTATTTCAGTACAGATGAAATGTTCCGAAAATCGCCTTACCAGCCTCCGTAAATGGCTGAAGGTACAATGTCAACTGCCCGATGTTATCGCCATTCAAGATCCTCCCTTGGAGCTTGCCTTCGCTCGAGAACCATTTTATGATACCTGGTTTCGTGGAGACGATGGCAACGGTAACCGTGTTACCATTTTAGCGGAGGACTACCCTTACTTCCGCCTCTATAACCTCCCAAAGAAGAAGGCCCATGAGAAAAGGCTTTGGAGGACGAAAAGACGAGGAAGACCGAGGAAGCGAAAAAGAGATCACTCGGCCAACCTGATGGACGCAAAAAGCTGGCAAAAGTCGCATTTCTGGTACACCGGTGCATTGAGGAATGGTATGTATCCGAACCCCCTGCACTGCCCAACAGAGGTCTTGTAGCGTCACTGCACATCAAGATTGACCAGGGTGAACTTGTTATCCACAACTTCTACAATCACAACCACCCAAACGGTCGCCTGGATGTTGTAAACCTCATAGATCCTTGTGGTAATGAGCAACATGCTCATGTCGTGGTCGGCGATAGCAACCTACAACACCCTCGCTGGGGCCACAACATCAAGGAAAAGTTTGTCCACCGGAAAGCCAAAGATCTCGTGGCAGCAATGGAAGCCAGGAAGATGGTATGCAAGAATGACGGATCCTTGACATATGCTCGCGGTATGCGCAGTAGTGGGAAGTATGCTTCTACGATCGACATTGTCCTTGTAAGTGGGTTTCTTGCCGATCAGTCCTGGTACAGCGTTCTGAATGTCCCCGGATACGAAAGCGATCATGCTATCACCTCGGTCACGGTCAGCACAGATTTGCGACGTAAGACTGGATTACGATTTCTCTGGGATGAAGCCGATCGAAGTAAATACAACGAATTTGTTGCATCGCGTATCAGAGAGCTGGACCTTCCTCCAAACCCCAACGAGGGCGATCTGAACAGCACGCTGGACACGTTTCGAGACATCATTTACGAAGCAATCTCACGTCACGTAACCACTCGTGATAGATTCCGACACCATCCAGTTCAACAGTCATCTATCCTTGTAGATCCAGCCAAGAAGTTCGAACGATATCGCCACAGTTTGGAACAGATATCCAAAAGCGATTCTAAGGTGCATTCTTTAGCCAAGAATACGTCAAATTATGGCCAGCCACAACCTCCGAAATACACACCGGATTTCGAGCCAACCCCCGGTGTAATCATCACAGAAAGCGAGGAAAAGGTGAAATGTTTGGTTGGATCAATTTGGCCCTGCAGCAGATACAAAGGACCCCCAAGAGACGTGGCGGTCGGTAGTGCTTCTCCAGAAACTTGTGTAAGTATGCTCAGACAATACCCCTCCGACAACGGGCGTTATCACTTACGCGCGCACAGGCTACTCACAACGATAACAACATGCCATCTACGAATGACCACGAGTTCCCGTTGCCGTTGCTTGACCCCACCAGGGAACAACACTATTCCAGCCAGCAGGTGACAGAGGAAGAAGTCGTGAGATTACTGAAAGACGCATCAGACCATAAGTCCCCTGGCGTAGACGGGCTTCCGTACGAAGCACTGAAGATGTGTGCTACTACCATAAAACGTACCCTGACCTGGATCTTCCAGACTTGTCTTGACCTGCGTTTACACCCTACCGGTTTCAAGAACTGTATCACCGTTCTTATCCAAAAGCCTGGAAAGGACCCATCCTTACCCAAGTCCTACAGACCCATCGCCCTTCTGAACACGCTCGCAAAGTTATTGGAGCGAATCATAGCGGATCGTTTCAAATCTCTTGTCCTAAAAGTGGAAGGAATGCTCCCATTTGCACAATTTGGTGCGCCAGGCCGTAGCACAACTCTTGCTACAGAGTTGCTAACATCGCAGATCTACGCCGGTTGGACAAAAGGCCTGAAGGTAAGTTTGCTTGGTCTTGATCTTACTGGTGCGTATGATCACATCGACCGAGGCAAATTGCTCAACAAATTGATTTCGCTCGGTATACCTGATTGGCTGATCGAGATCACATGGTCATTTCTGTCTAATCGCCGCACTTACATTCATCTTCCCGGCTACAATGGCGATGAATACTATATCGATTCCGGCGTCCCTCAGGGAAGCCCGCTCTCTTCATTGCTATTTTTGTTCTACGCGGCGCCCCTCCTAGACGAATTGGCCACGAACTACACCTCCGCAAAGCTTTTTTCTTACGTTGATGATACTTACATTCTCCTACTTCCAAAGTCATATCACGAAAATGTTGCGAAAATGGGCGTCATTCATGACCGGCTCTACGAGTGGGCGGATCAGAACGGTATGCGCTTTTCGCCTACCAAATACCACATCATGCATTTTTCGAAGCTGGGGAGGGGAAACAAAGACGAGCATTGTAACTTGTTACCAAGCATGATCGGTTTTCAGAATTTGACTGAAGAAGAAAAGAAAAACATCTTGCAGCCGACAATGACTATACTGGGGGTAGTTTTTGATCGACGCCTCACTTGGGTTAACTATGCCAATTATGTAAGTTGTGTCCCTCTTCACCGCTTCATCTCTTCGCCCAAAATAACTCACATGTAGAAAGATACTCAAAAAGGTCAGAAAGAAGCTGAAGTCTTACCAGATCTTTTGCAGGTCAAACTGGGGTATCACGCTTCAGCAACGACGTAATCTTTACCACCAACATTTCATTCCCATCATTGCATACGCCTGCCCCGCCTGGTTTCTCAATGATCCATTTGATGAGAAAAGTCACGAGAAATTGCCCTTTGGCATATCAAAGCCCGCCATCAAAGTATTGGAAGCCCTCCAAACTGAGATCCTCATTCGCCTCTCCAGGGCTTGGTCACGAACTCCTGTGGAGCTGATGCAGAACGAAATGCATGTTTTACCGATTTCGCTAAAACTTCATTCAGTTGCGATGAACCACCGTTGTCGGAAACTTGGTTCAAAAGAGTACGAGTTCATGCAACAAACGCGACTCTTGGTTAGAGGGGAGGGATCGGAGCATCCTCACACCCGAATGAACCAACTCGCAAGCGATTACAAGCTTCAGATCTTTAAAGACAAAGAGCTTTATTACAATGAGACAGAATGCGACGGTATTTGGGCTAGGGCGGCGACGCGAAAACGTTGGATCAAGGACTTCATCGAGATGAAAACGTTCGCGAAAGCGAAGGAGCAGTTTGATTTCTGGAAGCGTGTCCGAGCAACCGAATGGTCTCGAACTTGGAAATTTGCACAGCCAGCCTACCAAGCTGAGTTTGGTGAGCACACTCTGCAGCTCTACGATGGTTTGGATACCGCACAGCAAACAATGCTTATAGGAATGCGCACTGGCATCATTGGAGTCAAAGCCAATCCGTTCTTCCGCTTTGGCCTAGAGACTACGGACATGCGTTGCCCCCACTGTGGATACATTCCTCACACTATCAAGCACATGCTATGCTCCTGTCCAGCTCTGAATAGGGTGAGAACATACCTGACGGCAGCGGCTGGGCACAATGACTTCGATTTATTCATGAATTGCAACACTGAACTTGCCACGGCATGGGGCATTGCATACATGGGTATATCTCATTTCGATTGGGTCAAAAACGACAAGAAGTATCAATTTCCCCGGAAACAGGAGATCATATGTAAGCGTACCTGAGTCTGATACTGATTCATGTTCCGCTATATATGTAGCATCAATATCATCCTTTCACTAATTGGCTCCGGCCTTCAGAGAAACATTTGCGTGAAAAACTTCATTGATTCATTACTGATTACAGCAGATCACGTAAGTATATCAAGGTAAAGATGTCTCATAGTCTTCAATGACTGACTGTTACTAGGACAGTCTCCAGATCTGTCCATCGACACCGTCATGGTAAGTACTCTATGTAAGTCGCGAGGGTAATATGCAACTAACTCTGCAGTACCTGCAGCGCCAACACGAGCGACATGGTAAGCCATTCGCCCTCGTCCAATATTACTGCTACACTAATCAAAACTGATAACTATGGAGCCTGCAACTCCATGTAAGTTCTTCGATATTCCGGAATACAAGTAGATCTAACCAGCACCGAGAGACTACACCAGCTCATCACCCTCCACCGGCGCCGCCGCCACGGCCAATTCGTCCCGAAAGAACCACAGTATCACCCCCATCCACTCCTCGCTCTCGTAAGTCACACAATTGCCGTTTTGATCTGTACTGTCAAAATATATGGATTCTGACAGCCGTAGCTCACTCCGGAAACGAACACCAAACTCCCTCTGCTCCTCGGTTGGATGCAGGGCAGTGATAGCCTCGTGTATACGTCCCAAGTCATCTCGAAGCCACTCACAAGCTGTAGTACTGGGCTTGTGTCCAATCCGTTCGATGAGCTGCATGCCCAGCTCGTAAATCTGTTCGTATCCCAATACAGAAGCCGGCAGGCTCGAATGTAATAACATGGCATATAGTGTACGCGTCAATGTTATTCACGAAAGTATAGCCGTTGATGGATATAATATCAATCCGTGCGACAAGGCGGTTGCGATAACCAGAGCGTAAAAGCTGTGCCAAATGAGATATCCATTGGCGCAAATCGTCAAGAATATAATCCGGTGGGCGAGTATAGAAAGCTATCATCGCATTGTCAAAGATACCAATCGGGATCGGTACCTGATGTGAGAGATTCGGTTCTGGCGGGGGGCACGAGAAAGACCAGAGCCAAGAGAAGAACATTTCGACGGTGGGATGTATGAGGTTCGTTTCTTTGCACATGCATTGCCGTCGCTGACTTCGTAGTCAGAATGGTGTTGAAACAGATGACGATCGAGATGGGATTGAAGAGAGACTGGTAAAGCTCATGTCTCTTCGCATTCGTTACCGCTACTAACTGCACAGGAGACGAAACATGGCGAATTTGTAGGCACAGGAGCGCTGTGCTGCACTGCGGCAAGTTACAGCTGATTCACTTTGGTTTTGTCTCACCACTTACTAGTGACCAGTGTCCTTATTGTAACCATAGTTCGTTGTGCTGTTGCCTCAGTAAGTTTCAACCAACTGTCGCCCATATTAGCCAACTGCTCATTCGTAGTCAGTCGCAACCGTAGTTCGCTGTTCTGGTGCCTTCGGTGAGTCACGCTATAACATTTGGTTTCGATGACTAACGTGTGACTAGTCGCAACCACAGTTCAGTTGAGGTAAGGCTGACTTTTACTGCTTTCCAATTATCTGCTGATATCACCAGATGGTTGTCGCGTCCAATGGACGTGTGCCCATAGGCGTATGCCCATGGAGAAATGTATGTAGGTTCGCTTGCGACTTGTGGACTTTACCTCAACAGTCAGACGCTGCACTGATATCTGGGCTATCGTGTGACGATATGTCATGTGACTCCATCGCAGCGTCTGACTAGTGAGATAACGCGGACCTACTTATAATCAGATGCTGACTGGTCTTGTTTAGTGCTGGTATTACCAGATGACCCTTTTTGGGCTCGAAAGTGGGGCTTCGCTTACGGAGCTCTCGGAGCCGAAGCTCCGAGGCTTTTGTAATACAGGTAAGGCTGCAGTGCCCGACGCAACAGATCGCATCCATGCTGACATACCACAGAAGCCTTTCGTTCGAGTCATTACCCTGACTACAAAGTCTTTTTTTGATACCCGATCCCGGCAGGTTGGGGTGTGGCCTGCCATTCTTTTCTGAGAAACAATAATCTGATAAGCTTTACGCCAAACAGATGATCCAATTTAAGCCATAAAAACGGGCCCTCCACCGTTGCAAAAAAAGGACCTCTTCTCTGCAGAATGTTTTTTGTGATGTATTGATATATGGATGCCTATGCATAGCCACGTCATACCATGGATAGCACAAGTCCACTCCCGTGGTACGTGGCCTCAACACCACTCATTATAAATGCTCGTCCTCGCCCAGTTCTGACCTGGTACTATACTACTGGCGAATTTGTTCATATTCATATCGTCCGCTCAGAGATTTGAACCACTTCAAGCCAACTACCAGACCGACGCGAAACTCTGTCTTACTTTGTCAAGCATGTCCCCCTTTTTTCAACTACCCCGGGAGTTACGAGATCTGATTTACGACTACTATGTCCGCTGCGATGGTGGCTACGTGTACGATGTGGAAGCGCGGAAATTTCGACAGGCTGATGGCGGTCCTGTTTTTAACGCACTGGCCTTGACATGCCGACAAGCTGCGTTCGAGCTTGAAGGACTGGCTTTCCAAGTGAATACGATCACATTTTCAGCGGCCTATACGGAATCACTGCGTGAGCAAGCAATTTTGCATCACCATGTGATTCCTGACTTCTGCAGTGAAAGATCATATCTGCTCAACGCGTTATCTCCCAGACTGTTTACGCCGGAGAATTGCAGCGATAAGTTAGGATGCCCAGGAGTTTGCGATCTGGACGCGTGGGAGAGATGGCAATCTCGACCCCGGAACGCGACCG